TCCTCGTCGTCACCTAGGCCAGCCACAACACGGGGAATTGTGTTCCTTGCCCTCCTTGGGGGTCCATCTGATAGCCTCGCCCTCTCCCCCAGTTCGAGCCAGGGTCCTGTCTGGAGACCCGCAGAAAGACCCGCGGGCGCCTGCCGTGAAAGAACGTGACATGCTAGACCCCGAGCCAGCATTATGTGGCTCCCATCGTACTGAGGAGCACATCCCCCCCAAACAAATCGAACACCCAGCAAAGTATCGAAACAGTGTCTGCCCCAAACGCGGGCGAGGCGTCGAACGAGTAGCGCCTCCCAGGCCCCGACACGTGAAGTGAAAAAGGTCCCAGGGGTGCCGCCCTTCAGGGCCCTCCAGATTTGATACTTTCTTGGTGCTCGAAACTGTTGCCGGTGATCAAAGCTATAACAGGTTGGAACATCATGACGCCAGCATCTTTCCGGCAGCAACAGGTGGCCGACCATGGCTGCACTGCAACTTGTACGCCAAGTATTATGAGGTCGATTTCCGTAGAGGGTACGATGGGCGGAATGGCAGTGCTGGCGCAGAAGAGCATCACCGTCCAAAAACCACACCTCCCCAGGCCACATGTGATTCACCCTTGTTGTCTTGCGGCTGTGCATCTACTTACAGTGGCTGCACGGGTGCCGATATCTGTCTTTCCATCAATTTGGTTGACCGTGTGGGCATGGACCGACGAATCGACACGTGCTTTCAAAGTGAGCTGCATACTTCGCCATGCCCTGGTGCTGAATACCACAACTCTAAATTGGGACCGGGACAGCTTGACCTGCTTTGGCCGATCGAACTTATTGTACTTAAAATCATTGCCCTCAGCTACCACATGTCGGTGTTCCAGGGTGGAGCCGGCGTCTTCGGTGGACTGTCTTTCTTGGATCGATGAGTTTGTTTTGTGGGGGCGACATCCGTGGCTCAGTCTGCTGCGCTTGCATGCGCTGCGTGCGGCCCAGGATCTTGGGCTAAGGGACGAGTTCCTGTGGCTCCTTTGGTGCATCCCTGCGGTTCCTCAGCCTGGAAATCCCGATGAATCGGAGACCGGTCTTCATCCCTCGGTTTTGTTCGAGGCTGGTTCTGAACTCCAGTCGCTACTCGTACCCTTTGCTAGGGACGCAAGTGTTTGCACTCGGCAGGCTGAGATGTTGGATCGTGACGATATCGTCGGTTCTCGGAAGGCTGGCGTGGAACACTAAGTCCAACTCCGAGAAGCCTGTTGGCAGCCTCGAAACCGTCGTGCTCGCATGGGCCTGCCAAGGAACGAGGAGCTTACACGCAGAGGCCTAGCACGGCACTGCGGGCTCGCACGGGGGGAAGGAGGAAGAGGAGGACGAGGAGGGGAGGACTCGGGTGAGACCTGGTGGAGGAGGCGGAGGGAGGTGGAACTTCACACCACGGCGGGTGCGTGCAGGTGGCGACCTGCGCGGAGGCTTCTGAACTCCGCGCATCGCTTGGGTTTTTTTTGCAATCCTTCGTTCAAGTGGGTTTTTTTTGCAATCCTTTTTGCAATCAAATCGGGTTTTTTTTGCAATCCTTCGCTCTCTGGTGGCTCTGGTCCTTCCCCACCGGCCGACGCCGGGCCTCTTGCCGCGATCCGCCTCCGGCCGCCGTCGCGTCGTCGCGGCGAAAAACCCTGCCTTGGTCGACGGGGGGGCCACAGGAGGAGGGCAGCCCCCCCACTGCGCATCGGGCCCTGGGCCGCCTTCGCGGCGGCCTCCGGAGGTCTCTCGGGCGGTCTTCCGCGGTCCTCGATGCTCTTCGGCGATCTCCCGCGGTCTTCGGCGGTTTCTGGAGGGCTTCGGCGCAGAAGCTGGAGGGCCGCGTTGAACACAGGCCTCAGGATCGATCGCCTGCAGGGCTCACTCGCACCCTTCTGCATGGCCGCCCAGGGGGGAGAGGCAGTCGAGCTCGCCCCCCCTGCTCCAGCAGCGGCGGCGGCGTCCTCGTGCCAGGCTGCCCAGAGTGCTCTGGGCAGCGGTGGGCAGGGGCAGCGAGACGAACGGGAGGACTCGGGACGAGTTGGAGCAGGGGCGGTAGCGGCAGAACTCAAGAGCGACGACACAACCATACCCATGCCCTCGCGGTCTGGACACCGAAGCACGATCCCATGGATACGACCCGCGAGGGGCATGCAAGCAACGCCGCCCTGTATCTGTCGGGACGCGGCTCTCAGGTGATGGAGTCGACACGGATACACGACCCCCCTCACGAATCGAGTAGGGGATCGGCTGCAGAATTCAATTACCACAAGATTGGTTGTCCCTCGAATCTACAAGAAGAAACCGAGACAACTCCGTACATCTACGAAACGTTCTACGGTTTTTTAAAATTCGACGACGAATCAGCTTTGGGGTGAATGAATTCTGCAGCCGATCCCCTACTCGAGCGAAAAACACAGGCCCCGCCCCTGGCGCCTCTCCCCGCGCGGCGAGCCCCCTGCGGGAAGCCCCGTGGCCCAGGCCCCGCCGGCCCGCGGCAAAAAAAAAAAACTCGGGATGGAGGTATCGCGGGCGCGCGCGGAGCAGTGCGGGCGAAAGACCGGGCGGCCGGGCAGGGCGCGAAGAGCGCAGGCGGGGGGGAGGAGAGAAGAGGGAATAGATCACGAACGCGAAGAGCACAGAGCGGGAAGACCGCACGCAGGCGAAGAGCGCGGATCGCGAAGAGCGCGGGGAGGCGCGATGAGCGAAGAGCGCACAGCGCAAGGAAGAAAACGCGGACACGCACTCGCACACACACACACACACACACACACACACACACACACACGCAGACACACACACACACACACACACACACACACATGCAGACACGCCCACACCCACACACACACACAAACAGTTTGTTTGGCGTCGCGGCCATGCGCCCGGCGGCCCGGCGGCAAACACACACGCAAAACACACACACACACACAAACAAACAAACACACACTTTTCCTTCCGCGCCCAGTAACCGCCGCTGGCTGCTCCCCTCTGGGTCGGACGTAGCAAGATTGGGAGGCGCAGCGGTCATCAGGGCGCTTGTTTGCAGGTCGTTGTCGAGAGGCGACATCCCGACAACGCACCTCGGACAGACCGCCGCACCTCTGGACAAAAACGTGATAGTTTACGATCGCGCGCCACGCGAACACAGACATATACAGATACATATATGTATATATATGTATGTATATATACATACATACACATACAGATGGAAGCATACATGCGTATATACATGTAATACACATGTTAGCAAGTGCGAATGAAGTATTACTACCTACGCCGCGCAATGAAGGTGGTGCAGTTAGTGCGCTGCAAGACGAACCTTGCAGTCTACGCGGTGCACAACACCAGCAACAACGTTCACACAATACACACAGCTAGACACACCACACCCACACACATCACACAGGAGGAGCCTCAAGCGTCGATCGCTTTCACCGGGCACGAAACACAATCCACCTGAATTTGGATCATGTTGGGCGCCCCGAGGAGAGGGGAAGAAGAAGAAAAGGAGGGGGTGCCTCCAGCGGTCATCACCGTCACCCGGCACACAGCATGAGCCAAATGGATTATAATTATGTTTGGCGCACCGTGAAAGAGAGGAGATGGGCGCAGAGCAAAGCCGTGCAAATCCGCCGACCCCTCAGGGTTCATTGGCGTGTGAGATGGTTCCCCCTCCCCAAAACCCTCCCCCGGGACCCCGATTTGGAGGAGGGGGGGTCCCCACGGGGACCGCCCGAACGCGACATGGAAGACAGGGGGCCCCAAAAACGGACCAAGAGGGCCCGAAGAGGGTCCCTGGAAGGTCCACGAGGGGCACGAGTCGCCGAAAGATGGCGCCAAGATGCTCAAGATTGGCCCCAGACGGCCCCAGAGGCCCCAAAGACGTTCCAAGAAGTCGTCTCACGGGGCGTTCCAAGAGGTTTTCAAGGAGCAAAAATCGTCCCACTCCCTTCGAGAAACCTACATGTTTGGCACATTCGCCTCTTGTGCTCTCACGAGGCCCACGCAGGTCGAAGCGGTCTTCAAGATCGACCCAGGACGGGCCAAAAGGCCCCGAGGAGACCCAACACAGCACACGGGGGCCCCAAGACGGCCCCAGAAGCCTCCAAGACAGCCAGGGAGGCCCCGAGGACGGCCCCAAGGGAAGGCCCAGAGGGAGAGCCCGAACGGACATTTCTCCCCCAACAAAAAATTCCCAAGAGACCCCCAGAGAGCGCCACAAGGGCCCCCCAAAGACCCCCAGACGCCGCCAGGAGGCCCCCAGCAGGTTCAAGAACTGCCTCCATGACGCTCCCGACGAGCCTCCCTCAATACTCGGAATCGAATCGGATCGACCGGATCGACATGGGCCCTGCCCGACGGGCAGGCACCTTCTTGTTGTCGGCGGCGCTGGCGGCAGCAAGGGCGTCTGCAAAGTCGAAGGAACGGGCTGGCACGGGCCAAAGGGACAGCCACAGGACTGGGACTGGCGGCGGCGCAAAGACCTGCTCACTTGTGCACATCTGTCCTGTCGTGCTCTCGCTCCGGGCGCGAGCTAACGCGCTGTGAGACGGACACGCGCCCCGCTCTATCTCAGGTGGACGATCGGGAGCAACATGAGGTGGACCAAGAGGAAAAGCCTGCAAAGATCGATGTCTCCGAGGTCCCCGATGGATCAGGCGCTGCACTTTTGGCCCCGCCTCCGCATGAAGGCCAGGCACTCTCCCGTCGGCACGGCCTGACCCGCAGCGGCGCGGGAAAAGTGGCCTGTCGGCGGGAGACGCTAGCACCCGGCACAAGACACTGCTGGCAAGTTTCACTTGCAGCGGGGCGACAGAGTGTTTGCGACACTCCTTCGAAAGGGTTCTGGCAGCTCGTTGAAGCAGTTTCTGGAAAACTGCACGGCACACGTATTGGGAAACAGTTCGGAAATGCCTTCGGGGACACGCTGGATGGTCAAGCATACCGCTGCGAGGCTGATTTCCGGCTGGCACAAAAATACTGCTAGCTCACTGAGAACGAACAGTTCCTGGACCGTGTCCCCATTGCGACTGCTGGTCGGTTACAGGGACGAGTGCCACCGAGAGTCAGCACTGCGCAGCGCTGTAACGCACGAGTAAAAGGCCATTGCAGGCACGCGCTTGCTGACACCGACACACCACACTGGCGGCATCGACGGCCAGCTTCGAAGAAATCTGGACGGACGACAAGCCCCTAACACACACACACACACACACACACACACACACACACACGCACACACACACACACACACACACACACACACACGCACACACACACACACACACGCACGCACGCACGAACACACACACACACACACACACACACACACACACACACACACACACACACACACCGAACTAACCCCTGCAGACCCAGTCGGCGCCCGGACATCCGGCGCGGGGAGGGGGGAATGAGGGGGGACAGGGCGAAGTGGGGCAGTTCGGTGGCAACTCGCGGGAGCCTCCCATGCCATTTTGCTGGCGTTTGCGAATGCACGCCAAACGACGCGAATCGCCGCTAGCCGACGCTAATCGACGCTGAATCGGCGCTCGCTTATCGATTACCAAACGCTAGCGCACGCCAGTGCACTCGAATAACTAAATTTCGGGAGCACACGGGGCTCCCGCGACTTGTTACCGAGGGGCAGAAAGGCGAGGATGGGGAACGGCGGAGGACGGGACAAGGGGGGCGGAGGAGGAGCAGCAGGAGCGGAGCGGGGGGGGCGACAGGAGGAAGGCAAGACAAGACAAGAGCCGATGCGAGCCAAAGTTTACTCAAGTCAGGCTGGGGGAATATGGTGATTGGCCTTCGGATGCGCATGGAAACGCCCACCAGCGGCCGGCTACCGCCGGAAGGACAACCTGCTATGGTCGACACCGGGGACTATGTGGACCGGGGGATGGTGGGGAGGAGAAGCAAGCGGCGGCAACGGGGGCACGAGGCGCGAGCGGGGCCAGGCGCTGGAGTGGAGGCGAGAGCACGGCGGGCAGCGAGGTCGAGAGCAGGAGCGGAAGCACAGAGCGGGAGCGGGAGCGGGGGCAGCAGCACGAGCAGGGTGCATCCTCCACCCCTCCTCGTCCTCGTCGTCGTCCTCCTCTCCCCCCTGTTCCTCCTCCTCCTCCTCCTCCTCCTCCTCCTCCTCCTCCTCCTCTCCTCCTTCTTATAATAGTAGTATTATCCTTATTATTCTGAGTATTATTACTGTTATTATTACTCGTATTACTGTCTCATTAATATTAGTACTAGTATTGTTAGTATGTTTATTCGTATGGTTGCTACTATGTGTCTTCTTCTTCGTCATATTATTATTATTATTATTATTATTATTATTATTATTATTATTATTATTATTATTATTATTATTATTCTTATTTGTTCCTCCTCCTCCTACTGTTCTCCCTCCCCCTCCCCCTCCCCTTCCTTCTCCTCCTCCTCCTCCTCCTTCTCCTCCTCCTCCTCCATTCCTCCTCCACTCCTTCTCCTTACAGATAACTCCTCCCTGTCGCACCCCGAGGCCAGTTCTTAGGGCAGGCCGGGCGTTTCGCCTGAGACCTCCTCACCACGTATGACTCTGAAGCTCCAAAAGTGGCAACAGCTTCGCGGATGGAGAGCGGGTCGTTTTCAAACTGTGGCTCTCGCCCCAGCGCCGAGCAAATTAGTTTTAAACATTTGCAAGAGTTTCACGTATTGAGGGCGGGTGGTTTTCAAAGTGTGGATCTCACCCCAGCGCCGCGCACATCCGTTTTAAACATTTGCAAGAGCTTCGCGAATTGAGGGCGGTTCCTTTTCAAAATGTGGCTCTCGCCCCAGCGCCGCGCACATTCGTTTCAACAAATTGCAACAAGAGCTTCACGGATTAAGAGCGGCTCCTTTTCAAAATGTGGTTTTCGCTTTAACGCCGCGCACACTCGTTTTAAACATTTGCAAGGGTTTCACTGATTCCCATGGTCAACGTACCAGAAACAGTGTTTGGGACGGATTCTGGATTATGCGGGCGCAACAGTTCTGTTGCTTCGCTGTGTTGACGTCCCACAAACTTCGTTCTGGCACGATTCTGGATCGCTCAGACGCAGCAGTCAGGTTGGCACATGGCGTTGAAATCCCGAGAACAATGTTTTGGCACGCGTCAGGATCTTCAAACTGTTTTCTTCCAACGAGGCAATTCCCTCAATGGGAATGAACGGTTGTGGGGGCCTATGAAGACGGGGCTTGGGGGGAGGGCAAATTCCACCATCGTTGATGACTCTTGGGTTTCCAATGGTCCTCCTCCTCCTAGTTCTCCTAGTCCTCCTCCTCCTCGCCCTGCTCATCGTCCTCCTCCTCCTCATCGTCATCATCAGCATCCCGTTCCTCCTCCTCCTCCTCCTCCTCGCCCTGCTCCTCGTCCTCCTTTTCCTCTTCCTCCTCGTCCTCCTCTTCCTCCTCCTCTTCCTCCTCCTCCTCGTCCTCCGCATCCTCGTCAACCTCCTCCTCGTCCTCCTCCTCCTCCTCCGCCTCCTCCTCTTCCTCTTCTTCTTCTTCCTCATCCTCCTCCTCATTATCCTCCTCCTCGTCCTCCGCCTCCTCGCCCTCCTCCTCCTCCT